AATACATTTGTGTGTGCGTGTGTGTTTGTGTTGTCGAACGCAGATAACAAATACTATTTAAAACTTATCGGAAAGACCTACCCACAAACAATTTAGTATTCTCTTTAAAGGATACGACGTTGTATGTACCCGCGCATAAAAAACAACGGTATCCAACCCAAAGGAAACGTTTTATATATCGGAATTTCAATACGATTCCGAAGGATGTTCGACAGGTACTTCGCCTATTATATTGAAACTATGGCCAGTACAAATATCTGCATACCCAAACAGTGGCGACCAACGTATATCAATATGCGGTCAAACTGACGCACATACCGAATTTGTGTGCACGCGTTAGTGTAAATCAGTGTACTGACTGTAGACGGGTTTGATATCGACGACATACCTGAAATGCGGTGCTCAAAGAGGGACCAGACCCAACGCACTCGAGCACTGAATCAGCCAGGCGGCCCACGTGTTGCATAATCACCTGTATGAACAAAGGGAGCAGATTTGGATAAAAATCAAGAACAATTGTCATTAGAGCAGATTTAAATAAAATCAGGAACAATTAGGACAGATTTGAATAAAAATCCTGAGCAATTAGTAGAGATTTGTATAAAAATCGTGAACAATGAGGGCATACATGAAATGAAAATCATGAGCAATTAGGGCAGATATAATAATCGGTTGGAAATATAAATAAAAGAAGTTTCGAATCTGTTTGAATTAAAAGTTGATTCTCAGTGTTTGATATATTATCGAGTCATATAGCGAGTGTTGCATCATCGCGTATGTCATTGGATCAGATGCTGAGTTCATTGATGAGCGAAGATCTACATACTTATCTACGCGTACAAACCAGGAATAAGCGAACACCCCTAAACCATATTTATATTGCTTACCAGTATATGCCTGACGGATAGATAAAGCGTATCTGAAGTGAAAGATTGTGTATGTAGGACAAACACAATCCAATACAAACTGTATTCCTATATATTTAATAGTCCGCTGCGTCAGCCATTCGAGCAGGATGAGACAGACATCCGTGGTAAAGCCAGAGGACCCATATTTGAATGGCATTTGAATCCTCCATTTTAGTTTATAATATACAATTTGGTGTATCATATACCCATATACCATACAAGTATGGTCTAACATACGTAGTGTGGCCTACGCAGCTTTGAATTGAAGTGTTGTTCGTGTTTGTTGTGACTCACCTCAGCTGCACAACGGTCCGCGCACTCATGGACCATATAATTGTTTATATAATACTAAACACGATTCGCATACATTAAGGAAAAGGCAAACAAGCATACAGTTCGACGACACTAGTCTCTCGACCTTTCAATAAAGGTACCAAACGAACCCTACATCAAGCCAGTCGTACATTTAAAAACTTAATTATGCCTAATTCGTATTCGAGTATGCGCAGTTGAGGCCCATTTACCTTCTGTGGAGAGTCCTCTTTGAAGTTGATGGGGATGGCCCCAATTTCCTTTGCTTTGGACAGTCTTTCTAAAAATGGGACACAACGGATAGCAGACGATAGAGTGCACAGGCATGAGTATTTATACGATACTGTTCAAATGAACAAATAAAGGCGAATACCATACGGAATGCAAACAATCTCCAAGGACAATGGTGGGCAAGTTACCAGCAGATAGGAGAAGTGGCGATAGAGTACCATCCGTCTATTACGTGAAGACGAAGGTGGGATGAGAGTGAATGATACACTTACGTATAGGAAGACAGCGAACGTTCGTGACAAAGGGTGACCATAGTATGCACAGCTTCGCTACAAACGGATACAAACGCAACACAGAAGCCAGCAGTATGACTTTGACTTAAAGGTATGTAATTCACCATATGCTTTTGAATGTGTATAGTGTGTGTGTGTAAATGTCGCCATGTGCTGCGCATGTACATATATGTGTACGCGTGCATTTGTGCCTGTGGGTGTGGACACAATTGTGGTTTTGGTTTCAGTTTACAACCTACGATATCGGCATACTGACATTATTGCCAGTTGAAGCCAATTTTCTGATTTCAGTTGGTGGGGTTGTTCGCGTAAAACACTGCCTATCTATGCAAGCTGCTTCGCCTAAGTTCCCAATTAGTCGCAATTCTTAGAATACCAATCGACCCAATTCTGGCCAAAATAAGCATTCAAGATTCAAAATCGGCACACATATACCTACCTGGTACACAATCTATGGCAAACGTCCTGCCTGGAAGAGCACCTTTCTTAAACGCACTGAGAAGTGCCAGCATACCCACCGGTCCCATGCCCACAATCACCACTATGGCCTCCGAATTTAAATCGGTTTCCTTATTTGGAATGTCGGCGCGCGATGCACAGAAGAAACCCGTGCTCAGGATGTCGCCTACCAGCAATGCTGACTGAGGTGAAATCTTCAGGTTTGTTTGAACACGACGAAACAGATGTGAGTTTGTACGTATGTGTATCGTCAAACAGGAGAATATGGATAGGCTGCGACAACAGTATATGATTCACAAATGTGTGAATGCAGCTATGAGAGAAAATGTAGAAAAACTTCAACTAGACGCTACGCTGCATGTTCCTATCTCGAAAACTAGGTTATACAAAAAAATATATAT